TTCGAAAATATTAATGGAAAAGTAATTAATACCATGGTAAATGAGTTTAGAGAATATTTTTGAAGATAGTTATAATCTAAGTTGGTTTTATGAGTATTATGATATAGATTCAATAAAAATTCTGAAACTTTGGGTTAGAGTAGAGGGAAGCAATCTCTAGACCACTCCATCTATCTATAGACTAGACTATAGACTAGAATATAGACTAGACTATAGACTAGACTATAGACAAGACTATAGACTAGACTATAGACTAGACTATAGACTAGACTATAGACTAGACTATAGACTAGACTATAGACTAGACTATAGACTAGACTATAGACTAGACTATAGACTAGACTATAGACTAGACTATAGACTAGACTATAGACTAGACTATAGACTAGACTAGACTATAGACTAGACTCGACTATAGACTAGACTCGACTATAGACTAGACTCGACTATAGACTAGACTCGATTATAGAATATACTATAGACTAGACTGTAGCCTAGCCTATAGACTAGACTATCAACAAGACTATAGAATAGACTAAATACTAGACTAGTCTATACACTAGACTATATACTACACTAGACATAGACTACACTAAATACTAGACTATAAGACTAGACTATAGACTAGACAATTGACTAGACTGTAGACTTGACTGTAGACTTGACTATAGACTAAACTATAGACTAAACTATAGACTAGACTATAAACTAGACTATAAACTAGACTACAGACTAGACTATAGACTAAACTATAAAAAAGGCTAGATTACAGACTATATTATAGACTAGATTATAGACTAGACTATAAACTAGAGTATAGACTAGATTATAGACTAGACTATAGACTAAACTATAGAATAGACTAGATTAAAGACTTGACTATATCTATCTATCTATCTATCTATCTATCTATCTATCTATCTATCTATCTATCTATCTATCTATCTATCTATCTATCTATCTATCTATCTATCTATCTATCTATCTATCTATCTATCTATCTATCTATCTATCTATCTATCTATCTATCTATCTATCTATCTATCTATCTATCTATCTATCTATCTATCTATCTATCTATCTATCTATCTATCTATCTATCTATCTATCTATCTATCTATCTATCTATCTATCTATCTATCTATCTATCTATCTATCTATCTATCTATCTATCTATCTATCTATCTATCTATCTATCTATCTATCTATCTATCAATCTATCTATCTATCTATCTATCTATCTATCTATCTATCTATCTATCTATCTATCTATCTATCTATCTATCTATCTATCTATCTATCTATCTATCTATCTATCTATCTATCTATCTATCTATCTATCTATCTATCTATCTTTCTATCTATCTATCTATCTATCTATCTATCTATCTATCTGTGTATGGCGAAAGCTAAGATTGTTCTCACTAACTCTTAAATTTAAAAATTTCTTAAAATTTTAACCTAAATATTTCGCTAAAAAAAAAAATATTTAAGTCTTCTATATAAAACTTAATTTAAGTTGCATTAACCTACTAGCCAATAGAAAAAGACACTGGGCCCCGAAAGCAACAGTAAACTGAAAGAATGTGCAGTTAAAAATACTACAAATAAACACGAAAATAACAATAAAAATCCAACTATTCCCCAGAAACCATAAAAAATGAGAAAATAGAAAAAATAACTTATATTACAAAAAAACTATCAAGAAAAATTTCTTTTAGCGGTAAATAAATTTCTAGTTTTCTTCTATTTTTTATGTATTTTTTTCTTGCCACATAAATTAGCTGTAGACAAATGACTATCAGTCACTCGTGGCATAATATCATAATAATAATGGCATCCATGCCAAAAATAAAAATCGAATACAAAAATAGAAGAAAAACACACACACACATACACACAAGAAAACGACGTAATCAATCATTATATGAAAAAAGATTCAAACCATATCTTATAGATATATTTATGGATTTTCACATAAAACCCAATTATGTTAAAACTTTAACATAAGCCTTCAAGAGAATTTGCAACAGCATTAAAGGAAACTCTTTGGAAAACTTTAAAAGAGAAAAACTATTTTATAAAAATTAAAAGAGCAAATTAAAGGCCGGTGTTAATAAAAGTAGTTGCAACAATCTTTAATAAAACATAATATTTGTGTTTATAAAAAAATATTATTTTATATAATAAATTAATAAACAATTAATAGATTTGCTTAAACATTTGTTTCTGATAAAAATTACGTTTATTCAATAAAAACTAACATAAATTCTTAATGTTAAGAGTTAAAGAACAAAGAGTAACACACTTATAAAAAGCATTTCTATGTTAATTGATAACACAGTAAGAGAATTTCACTCTTAATTTAACATTTAAAGAGTAAAAGAAAATAATGTAAACATTCTTGTACATCTTATTATTATTTATTTTTACTGCTGTTTTTTGTTTTGTTCAGGTTTTTCCTACTTGCCGACCAACCAACCAACAAGAATGAAATTTATTTATACAAGTTCTTTTACTTTTTTTCTTTCGCTGTTGTGTTTTTGTTTTTTTTTTGTTCATTTAGCGCTGAGATATGGATGGATATTTGTTCCTCCGAGTAAAAGTTCATTGACACTTGTACACTCGTCATCTGTCACGTTTACACCAAAAATACGAAAGAAATTTCTTCTTTTTTTATTTATTTTTTGTTATTGTATTTTTATTATTTATTTACGAAATATTTTTATTTATTTTATTATTTCGTCTTTATACCAACAACAAATTTTTATTCATTATAATTTTTGTGTATTTTCCTTAATTTTTCTCGACTGAGATTGTTCTGTTTTATTTCCTTTATGAAATTTTTATTACATTTATTATTAATGATGTGTAAGTGATGTGTTGAGCGTTTGGGTAAATAGTACTTAGTGATGAGTGAAAAGGGTAGGAAATAGTACTTTTTAAGTACCTTTACATTTGGGGACACCAATATACATATACATATAGATAAATAGATAGACTATAGAATAGACTACAGACTGGACTGTACATTAGACTAGATAATAGACTAGACTATAGACTAGATAATAGACTAGACTATAGACCAGACTATAGACCAGATTATAGACTAGACTATATACTAGACAATAGACTAGACTATAGACTAGACTATAGACTAGACTATAGACTAGACTAGACTATAGACTAGACTATAGACTAGACTATAGACTAGACTATAGACTAGACTATAGACTAGACTATAGACTAGACTATAGACTAGACTATAGACTAGACTATAGACTAGACTATAGACTAGACTATAGTCTAGACTATAGACTAGACTATAGACTAGACTATAGACTAGACTATAGACTAGACTATAGACTAGACTATAGACTGCACTATAGACTAGACTATAGACCAGAATATAGACTAGACTATAGACTAGACTATAGACTAGACTACAGCTAGACTATAGACTAGACTATAGACTGACTATAGACTAGACTATAGACTAGCTATAGACTAGACTATAGACTAGACTATAGACTAGACTATAGACTAGACTATAGACTAGACTATAGACTAGACTATAGACTAGACTATAGACTAGACTATAGACTAGACTATAGACAGACTATAGACTAGACTATAGACTAGACTATAGACTAGACTATAGACTAGACTATAGACTAGACTATAGACTAGACTATAGACTAGACTATTAGACTACTAGACTTTAGACTGACTATAGGACTAGACTATAGACTAGACTTTAGACTAGACTATAGACTAGACTATAGACTAGACAACAGACGAGACTATAGACTAGACTTTAGACTAGACTAGACTAGACTATAGACTAGACAATAGACTAGACTATAGACTAGACTTTAGACTAGACTATAGACTAGACAATAGACTAGACTATAGACTAGACTTTAGACGAGACTATAGACTAGACTATAGACTAGACTATAGAGGTGACTATAAGACTAGACTATAGACTAGACTATAGACTAGACTATAGACTAGACTATAGACTAGACTATAGACTAGACTATAGACTAGACTATAGACTAGACTATAGACTAGACTATAGACTAGACTATAGACTAGAACTATAGACTAGACTATAGACTAGACTATAGACTAGACTATAGACTATAGACTAGACTATAGACTAGACTATAGACTAGACTATAGACTAGACTATAGACTAGACTATAGACTAGACTATAGACTAGACTATAGACTAGACTATAGACTAGACTATAGACTAGACTATAGACTAGACTATAGACTAGACTATAGACTAGACTATAGACTAGACTATAGACTAGACTATAGACTAGACTATAGACTAGACTATAGACTAGACTATAGACTAGACTATAGACTAGACTATAGACTAGACTATAGACTAGACTATAGACTAGACTATAGACTAGACTATAGACTAGACTATAGACTAGACTAGACTAGACTATAGACTAGACTATAGATTAGACTATAGACTAGACTATAGACTAGACTATAGACTAGACTATAGACTAGACTATAGACTAGACTATAGACTAGACTATAGACATGACTATAGACTAGACAAGACTATAGACTAGACTAGACAAGACTATAGACTAGACTAAACTATAGACTAGACTATAGACTACACTATAAACTAGACTACAGACTAGATTACAGGCAATACTATTCATTAGACTATAGATTAGACTACAGTTTAGACTATAATCTAGAGTATATACTAGAGTATAGACTAGATTATAGACTAGAATATAGACTATACTATAGAGTAGACTATTGACTACTTTTTAAAATACTGAAAATGTTGTGGGGTACCGCGTTATTTTTCGTTATCAAAATTACTGAAAAAAGTACTAAAGTACTGAATTTAACATGCCTGGAACCAGTCATTTTTATGTATTAGTTTAAAAAATTATTCGTAAAATATCAACAAAATTAATAAATATCCTTTTTTTTTGCATTTCTACTTTCAGCTCAAATTGAAATAATACCATGCAAAGTATGTGGTGACAAATCATCGGGTGTTCATTATGGTGTTATAACCTGTGAGGGCTGCAAAGGTTTCTTTCGACGTTCACAAAGTTCTGTTGTTAATTATCAGTGTCCTCGTAACAAGCAATGCGTTGTCGATCGTGTTAACCGTAATCGGTGTCAATATTGTAGACTGCAAAAGTGCCTCAAATTGGGAATGAGCCGAGATGGTGAGTTGAGAGGACTAAAATATTTCATAGTTTATATTTGTGTTATTGAGAAAAAAACCCCCCTTTTGGCCAAACACGTCAAAATTATTCTAATCGTGAATGTTTTCTTGTTTTTTTGTTGTCGTTTTCGCTTTTCGTTCGCTATATTTTGCAGCTGTAAAATTTGGTAGAATGTCTAAGAAACAAAGAGAAAAAGTTGAAGATGAGGTGAGATTTCACCAAGCACAGATGCGGGCTCAAAGTGATGCGGCACCTGATAGTTCTGTATTTGATACACAAACGCCGTCTAGTAGTGATCAACTGCATCATAGTTATAATGGGTGAGTAAAAAAAGCTCGCCCGGAGTAAGTCGAAAGTTTTAGTAGTGGATTACAAGAACAAGTGGAAAGAAAGACTTCCTTCAAGTTCTAAAAAGTTTTTATTTACTTGATTATTATTAACGATATTCAAAAGTTCCAGGTTCTTTGTTACTAATTAAAAATTTAAAAATATTCTTCTCTCTTTTCTCCATCCACTTAGCTATGGCTATTCAAGTAATGAAGTCAGTTATGGCAGTCCTTATGGATATTCAGCATCCGTGACCCCGCAACAGACAATGGCCTACGATATATCAGCCGATTATGTCGACAGTACCACATATGAGCCACGAAGTACAATGATGGATCCCGAATTTATCAGTCATGGTAGTATAAGTGCTAAACAAATACCCATCACCAAACAGCCAACAATCACAACAATTTTTAATTGTATTCATTCAACAACATTCATTAATTTATCATTTAATTATTGTTTTTTTTTTTTTAATTTTTTTGTTTTACTTTAAAGTTAACATAACAAAAGATCCCACAAAAACAAAACCTCTCATCCTTTTCGAGAACATTTTCATCAAACGAACAAAACCAATCGTTTTTAAAAAATCATACAATTCATGACATTTGTAACATTTTTTGTTTAAATAATTTCATTAAACTTTTGCTAAGTTAAACAAAATTAATAATAAATTTGAAAATTTTTATAAAACAGCAGATGGTGACATTAATGACGTTCTCATAAAGACCTTGGCGGAAGCTCATGCAAATACAAATACCAAATTGGAAGTTGTGCATGAAATGTTTAGAAAACCCCAGGTAATTGAAAGGATTTTAAACTAAATTTGCCCCCAGTAACCAAAACTTTAATTAATCTTTTCCAGGACATCTCAAGAATACTTTATTATAAGAATCTAGGCCAACAGGAACTGTGGCTGGACTGTGCGGAAAAGTTAACTCAAATGATACAAAATATAATCGAATTTGCCAAATTAATACCCGGTTTTATGCGTCTTAGTCAGGATGATCAGGTTAAATTCAATTCAATTAATATCATTAAATTCAAATTAATTACTTTTATTTTTAATAAATTAGAGTTTTGATTTATTATGTTTATTGGTACTTATTGCAGATCCTACTGCTAAAGACCGGTTCATTTGAGCTGGCGATTGTACGGATGTCACGTTTGTTGGATCTCTCGCAGAATGCGGTGCTGTATGGTGATGTTATGCTGCCGCAGGAAGCATTTTACACATCCGACTCGGAAGAAATGCGACTGGTGTCACGTATTTTCCAAACGGCTAAATCAATAGCCGAACTTAAATTGACTGAAACTGAATTGGCTCTGTATCAAAGTTTGGTCCTGCTGTGGCCAGGTGAATAACGAAAATATATATTTTTTTAAGAATTTGTTTACGTTTTTTAAGTTTGAATCATAAAACGTTGATTTTGTTTCGGAAAATTTGCTATATACAAATGTTGCTGAAAAATGTTGCAGCAACAATGTTAACAACTAATCATTTAAAATTTTTCTCATATAAACATTTTTAACTATATTATTTCTAGTTCAAAGACTACTCAATAGACAAGTCCATGAATTAGTCAATGGACAAGTACATCACATAGTCAATAGACAACTTCATAGACAAGTTAATAGATAAATCCATAGACTAGTTATTAAAGAAGTCCAAAGACTAGTCAATATACAATACCATAGACTAGTCAATAGACAAGTCCATGCATTAGTCAGTAGCGAAGTTCATAGACAACTTCATAGGCTAGTCAATAGACAAGTCCAAAAGTCAATAGACAAGTCCGTAGACTGGTCAGTAGGTAATTTCCGGGTTAGTCAAACCCATAGACTATTCCAAACACAACTTCATTGACTGGTCAATAGACGAGTCCAAAGACTAGTCAATAGACAAGTCCATAGACTATTTAATATACAAGTCAATACACAAGTCAAGGACTAGTCAGTAGACAAATCCATTGATTAGTCAATACACAAGTCCATAGACAAGTCTATAGACAACTTCAGAGACTAGTTAAAAGATAAGTCCATAGACTAGTCAACAGACAAGTCCAATGACTAGTCAATGGATTAGTCAATAGGCAAGTCCAATGACAAGTCCATGGATTAGTCAGTAGACTACTCCAGAGACAACTTCATAAACTAGTTAACAGACAAGTCTATTGACTATTCAATAGACAAAGAATAGTCAATAACCAATTCCATATACTAGTCAATATACAAGACCATAGACTAGTCAATGGACAAATCTCTAGACTAGTCAATAGACCTGTCCAAAGTCTAATCCATAGACTATTCAATAGGCAATTCCATAAACTAGTCAATATACAAGTTCATTTATTAGTCAATAGACAAGTCTGTTTACTAGTCAATAGACTACTTCATAGATTAGCTACTCCATAGACTAGGGAATAGACAACTTTTCCTCTTCAACTTCATAGAAATTATCCACTAACAATTTCTATATTTTAGAACGTAATGGCGTGCGCGGCAATACGGAAATTCAGAGGCTTTTCAACTTAAGTATGAATGCAATAAGGCAGGAACTAGAGGCCAATCATGCACCACTTAAGGGCGATGTGACGGTACTCGATACACTACTCAATAATATTCCCAACTTCCGGTATGCTTTTAAATAAAATTCTCAAATATTTCCCTTCGTTTTAAAAACACAAAACAATATTAATATAAATATTCATTTCCAACTCCTCTAGTGACATCTCCATAATGCACATGGAGTCGTTGAGTAAATTTAAACAACAACATCCAAATGTGGTATTCCCTGCCCTGTACAAGGAACTCTTTTCCATAGACTCACCCCAGGATCTCACATAACAGCAACCGGTGTATGATGATACCACCACAACAACCGACCTAGCAGTCGAGACTGCAACACCAACCGCTTCATCATCAGTAGTAGCAGCTGCAGCAGCAGCATTAGCAGCAAACACAATAATAACAACAACATCAGCAGCAGCAGCAGCAGCATCTTCATCAGCTAATACAGCTTTAGTAGAAATCTCTCAGACGTCATTAAATGAACAACACCATATAAACTCAACAGCAACAACAACAGCAATTACAAGAAACAGCAATAACAACATCAATGCATCATCCTTAACATCGTAGATTAATTGTGTATAACAACAACAACATGATCTTTTCAACAGATAAAATCTGTCAAAAGATCACTCACTTAACACATCAACAACAGCCAAGTCATTAATCAACTTTAAAGCTCATTTTAAACGTTATGATTGCTAAATAAGAACTGAGAACCACAAAGGATAACGTTTCGGGTAGCGTTTCATTTTTTTTTTATATAATTTAGTTTAAAGTAAATCCAAATAATTGCAAAAAAACGAAAAACAAAAACAAACTCTTTTATCAAATGAATTTCACTCACTATTTATCCTTCAGAGTGATTAAGACTTATTAAGATTATACAACAAAAAAAAAAAAAAAACAAAAACAAAACAAATTATTAAATACTAAATAAACTAAATAACATTTAAATACCGTTAAACAAAAAAAAATTACACCGCAGCAGCATAGTACGTCAACCAACACTAACAAACAAACAAACATCATCATCAACAGTTTTTTAAGGGAATTAGATTTAAAGGAATTCATTTAAAGGATTTAACTTACATTTAGTTTAGTCTTGAGCAAATCAAAAGTTTCTTAAGTTTTTTTTTATATAAAATCACTCGAATATGAAAGGTTTACTTGATTTTTTAAGATTTTTTTTTTGTTAAATTACTATAAATTAAGCAAAATTTAGTAAAAATTATAATAAAATAAACTTTGTTAAAAAAAAAATAAAACATTTTGAAAATGTTGAAAGCTTTTTTGGGGTAAAAAATTAAAAGCTTTGATTTAAAAGTGTAAACAGCAAGGACAAAGACTAGGCGGATACAAAATGCAGAAGAAACAGATTTCATAAAATGCAGGAGAAAATGCTGGGTCGTTGAATTTTAAATAAAGTCAACGTTTAAAAGCTGGCAACTTTACTTAAGATTTAAAAAGTTGTTGACACTTTTTTGTTAAAAGAATTGCTTGGTAGTCAAATTTCCTGCTTTAAAGTGTGTTTTTTTAGAAAATTATTTATATAGAGCAATTTAATTGCCAATATTAAGTTTAAGTTTAAAGTTGCCGCCACTTTTAATGTTAAAGAATTGCTTGGTATTTATATCAAAATTTCGAAAATTTACTGCAAAATGTTTAAGAGCTGTTAACCTCAAACTAAATTGCCAACAAATTAAAGTTGCCGCCATATTTTGTTTAAAAGAATTGCTTAATATTTATCTTAAATCAAGTCAAGTTGTATTTTAACAAAATCAAACTAAAGCTACGCAACTTAAGTTGCCGATTTAAAGATTTTAAGCTTTAAACATATTTGAATAGCGACAACTTCAAAAGGGTTTGCTTCAAAAAGTTTTTTATATTGTCATGATTTGTATTGACAATTATTTCAAGCAGCTCTCAATATAAGCAATAACAGTTGCTCTAATCACTAAATTGACACTTAAGTCTCTATTATTTTATATTTCTAAAGAATCAGGGCACTAGAAACATTTCAGCAAATTTTTTCGATATTTAAAGGGTGAGCAACAAAAATTGCCAGTCAGAAATTTATCCAGCAGAGAACATGAAAGTTGCTGGTGCTTTGGAGATATTTTTTTCAAGCAATTTGTTCGATATTGGCATTGAGCTTGAAATAGCTCCAGCAATATTATTTTAATTGATTCCATTTGCAAGAAGAAAACTTGAAAGTTGTTCAAAATACTCAAGAGTTTAAAATCCCTGCGTCCAACCTTAAGGAATTGAAAATGCAATTAACGCAGAAGGTGGAGATGGAAGATGGATCAATTCTATAGCGGAAAAGACTGACTATTTCAGATACAATAATCAAACAATTTTATAATGAAAATGTCACAGATTCTATTGCTATTATGACACTTTCATGGATATTATGAAACTTTAACATTTTGGAGTAACTGGCTGCTGTTTAATCCACAAAGTTTTTAAAGATCATTTCTTACGAATTCCAAGCAATTTAAGTTGCTAAGCTTAATTTTGAGTATTTAATTGGCGATGTTGGTGTCCAAAATACCCCAGAAGCCAGCTGTTCAGAGCACTTTTTAAGGGAATTCAAAACGCATAGGACACAAAAGTGTGGAGCAATTCTATACCAGAAAATAGTGCCTATTTGTGAAACAATAATCGAAAAATTTTATAAAAAAAAGTGTCAAAGATTTTATAGATAGTATGACACTTTCTTGTATATTACTACACATTCATGGATATTATGAAACTTTTACAATTTGGCTTGGGTGTTTTGTTTGCAATGCATAATGGTTTGAAAATCTTCACAGATATTGCCTAGAAGTATAGTTTTATTCTTCTTAAAAAGTAAAAGCATTTTTAACTAAAATCCCGTTAAACTTAAGACTAAATTGCCAAGACATTATACAGGATGTGAACTGTCAAAGGTGTCAAATTCATTATAAAAGATGTACTTAAATCAAAACTTCGGAAAATTAATAACAATATTAAATGCCAAGTTATCTTAGAATTTAGGAAAGAAAAGTTTTTTAAAAACATTTTATAGTTTTTAATGAAATTTAAAACTATGTCAATTCGGTAACAACAAATCAGACGTCTATCGGCGTCCTATTCGAATCAAAAAGTGTTTAAAGGCAATTTCAATAAAAGGCTCCAAGCGATCAAAATAATTAAAAACTATTTATTGTTTAATGAACATTTTTAAGAGAATAAATCAAAAAAAAGTTTCTAAAATTTTCTTCAAAATAATGCAAACTGCAAATTTTTAAAGGATACAATTTTAAAATGAGAAAAAGTAGAAAATTGCTTTGAAATTTATATATTATATTAATATATTCAAATATTATCATATCCATAAATCATAAACTCATTTTAATTGATCTTTTAGGAAATGTATTTATTTGATTTTTGTTATACAATTAAGGACTTTAAGGATCGTTTTTTGTTGGCAATAAAAATTTCTATAGAAATTAAAACAAGCTTTCTTTCATAAAAATTAAAAATTCTTATGATTTTAAAAACATATTTTCAAAATTTAAAAGAAATTGAACAAAAAAAATCGCCAAAAACCAAATAATGAATTGAAAACACCTGACTCACACATCCTATTTAAGAATTTCCTTTCTTGAAACATCAATTCTTCTACAAAACTAACATAAAAGAGTAAAATTTTTTGAACAAACTTTAAAACGACGTCTAGGAATTCTCTACTACAAACGGAAAAGGAAATACATACAACACATTACAACCGGTCATTCAAACACACACTCACACATATAAAAACGTTAAAAAAACGGAAATTCTCTCACAACCTTTTAAACACTCTCACACATACTTACATTACACATCTACATACATACATTTATTTACAAATTTAAGTAAAAACAAAAATATTGTGAAAGGGATACAAAACAGAAAAAAAATCAACAAAAAACAATTTAAAATTTAGATTTAAAAACCACAACAAAAAATGAAAATTTTTTATTATTATTATTATAAAAAGGAAACCTTTTTTTAAATTTTTTTATTTGTTTTTTTTTATATCATTTTTTTATTAAATTTTTGGCCTTAATGCAACAAGAAAAAAAAAAAAGATTAGTTTAAATCAAATTTATTAATAAAACAAAAATTATATATATATTTAAATTAATATTATATATATATATATATACAATACATATATTTACATTTACAATGTATATGTAAAAAAAAATAACAAAAACAAAATGAAACATTTAATTAAAAACAAAATGCATTATTATTAATGTTATCGTTTAATAATTCTTGATTAATTAATTGAATGAATGATTAAAACAAACAAAAAAGAAAGGACTAAAAATGTTGTGTAATATTAAATAATAATATTTGTGTGAAAGAGAAAGAGAAGAGAGTTGGTTGTTGGCAGAGCAGCAATAGGTAAAAGGGCGATCAATGAGCAAGTAAATCAGGTATGGAAAATTGATATTTTGAAATAGTACTAATTTATAACAAAAAGACTAGACTATTGACTAGACAATACACTAGACAATAGACTACACTATAAACTAGAATATACTATAGACTAGACTATAGACTAGTCTATAGACTAGACTATAGACTAGACTATAGACTAGACTATAGACTAGACTATAGACTAGACTATAGACTGGACAATAGACTAGACTATAAACTAAACTATAGACTAGAATATGGACTATAGACTAGACTATAGAATAGACTATAGACTAGACTATAGACTAAACTATAGACTAGACTATAGACTAAACTATAGACTAGACTATAGACTAAACTATAGACTAGACTATAGACTAGACTATAGAGTAGACTATAAACTAGATTATAGACTAAACTATAGACTAAACTATAGACTAAACTATAGACTAGACTATTAACTAGACTTTAAACTAGACTATAGACTAAACTATGGATTAAACTAAACTATTGTAGACTAAACTATAGATTACACTATAGACTAGACTATAGACCAGACTAAACTATAGACTAGACTATAGACCAGACTATAGATTAGACTATAGACTAAACTATAGACCAAACAATAGACTAAAATATAGACTAAACCATAGGGGACTATAGACTAGACTATAGACTAGACTATAGACTAGACTATAGACTAGACTATAGACTAGACTATAGACTAGACTAGACTATAGACTAGACTATAGACTAGACTATAGACTAGACTATAGACTAGACTATAGACTAGACTATAGACTAGACTATAGACTAGACTATAGACTAGACTATAGACTAGACTATAGACTAGACTATAGACTAAACTATAGACTAGACTATAGACTAGACTATAGACTAGACTATAGACTAGACTATAGACTAGACTATAGACTAGACCATAGACTAGACTATAGACTAGACTACAGACTTGACTTAAATTAGACTATAGGTGAAACCATATACTAAACTATAGAATAAACTATAGACTAACCTATAGACTAGACTATAGAGCAAACTATAGACTAGACTACGTACTAGACAATAGACTAGATTATATACTAGACTAGACTACATACTAGATTATAGACTAATGTATAGACTAGACTATAGACTAGACTATAGACTATACTATAGACTAGATTGTAGACTAGATTATATACTAATCTACAGACTAGACTATAGACTACATTATAGACTAAACTATAGACTAGACTAAACTATAGGCTTGGCTATGGACTAGACTACAGACTAGATTATAGACTAATATATAGGCTAGACTTGAGACTAGACTCTAGACTAGATTATAGACTAAACTATAGACTAAATTATAGGCTAGACTATGGACTAGACTATACTCTTATAGTATGGAGTAGACAGTTTAATTGTTAGAAAAATTACCCAAAATTTCGATATCAAAAAGTACTAAAGCACTGAATTTTCCAAGCCTGAGGTAAATATTCATGAAAGACTCATTGCCCCTATCAACTATAGTGTTATATACAAAAATCTTTCTGAATAATCAATGATCGATGATTTTATCTTTAATTAAATTTCTCAAGCGCCTCAAGCAATGTTTCTGCGAATCTCCTATAGAGATAATATGATAAAACAGAGTCCCAAGAAAACACATTTTTGTGGGGGAGAATAAAACAGTTTATTTTTTTTAAGTGAGAATGCTTGAAAAGATTTCCGTTCCTCTGACAGTCGGTTCTACGTACCGGAACGACTTAAAGCCCTTTAGAATGGCCCAACCAAGAACTGTCGAGTTTTTTTTAACATCAAATTCACTTCGAGGTATTCAGGATATTTTTAAAGAATTTTTATTAATTTCCGAATTTCGAACCTAAACTTAAGCTGGTTTTTAATATAAATAATTTTTTAAAAATACAAAATTATTTAAGTTTAATCGACCGCCTAAAAGTGTGTTCAGATGTTACTTATATTTTAAAATAAGTATTTTTCTAAGTTTAAACTTTTTAAAGAATCTCGGCTTCTTTTTTTATTTGCAAAATATAGTAAAAAAAACTAAGGAAAAATATTATTTTGGAAAAATTAAAAAAATAAAACTATAATTTAATTATGTATTAAAACCAGCTTAATAGTTACAACTAAAATATTTTTAAATATTAAGAATTTTGACAAAATTTACCAAAAATTTGGAATTAATTTTTTTACTTGCTGTTACCTACATACATCTCACTTTCCCTTTCAAACAATTATTATTATTAAATAAACAATTTATAAACAACAACAACAAATTATAAAAAAAATAATTAAGAAAACATTGTGAAAAGAAAATGATAAGTAAAGTTTAAAATTATTAAGGAAAATTAAGAAAAAAAAAAATATTATAAATAAAATATATATATTATTGTTAAAAATCTATTTTTAAGTTTTTAGTAAAAATTAATATTGAGAAAATGGTTAATACTTTTTTAATTAGCATTATTATTATATTATAATTATTATACTACAATTATTATTATTATTATACATACAACAACAAAAAAAAAAACAGAAACCAACAACAAAAAATAAAAAAGAATTATTAAAAAAAAAGAATATTATGTTACATATGTAAGAAAAACAAAAACAACAAAAAAATAAAGGTAGTAGCAGTAGGAAGTAGGAGTTGAAGGTATAAACAAACAAAAAAAAATAAATTAATAAAAAAAAACATAAAAAATAAAATTGCACGCTGAATTTTATTCAGATTTAAATAAAGAAAAAAATAAACTAAAAAAAACAACATCCCCCAAAACATTTTTCAATAATATTTAAAAACAAAAAAGAACAACAACTTACAGAGAAAAAACTTCATAAAAAAACAATATTTTGCCTTTTATTATAACAACAACAAGAAATAATAGCAGTAAACAACAAAAACTATATATACAACAACATAAACACAAACACACAACATTACCAACAG